CAACTCAAGTCTCTTCTGTTGTTTAACCGTTATGAATTATCGAAACGAAGGCAGGAAACGATATGCGTGTAGCGGTAATATTTTACGGCAGACGGGCATATAGGTCGTTCGGCTTATTCCATTCAGGATCTTGTTCCACTCCTGTGAAAAAAACGCAGTCAACAGCCAATGCCCAGTATACAGTTGTGCCCCTCTCCTTGTGTAGTTTGATTTGGATTGAAGATTACCGTTCAGTTTTGTTGGTAAGTATCGACGCAGTTCACGGCAAAGTCTGGAGTAGTTTTTTCCTATTTTTAACGTTCACTGATAACTGTCACATTGGCGTAGCGCTGAGAACAAGACTCCATTTTGACTCAAAATAGTTCTCATCCAATGCAGGCCAAGTTATGTGAGAGTATTTTATAATGCCAATTCAATTCGCCCATAAATTCTAGAGACAGACGTCATTATTTTCATTTTTGGCATTGGCTAGCAATGGGGGGACGAAGGGAGCAATTTGACGTGAGTTAGATGCAGGAAGAAGTGGACAAAGCTCGATATTTCAGCAAAAGTAGAGTTATGGTATTCGGTGCACGTAGTTAGGTGTATTTCTAATTTTGTTAGGGGTGACAAGCAATCGATTATTAGAAGCGGAATCACTAAGGCCGATCGAAATAGCCAGCCATATGTCAAGGTTACTAAAAAATGGAGAAATATGAATGCACCATAAAATAATGGAAAAGTAATGTGTCAACTGAAAACCACCCTTTCGCTCCTCATAAATTAACCTGTCTTGCTTCACACATCTTATCCCGCAAACCTCTCAGGATGCTGACAATCCTAAATAAATTTCATAGACTAGTTGCTGAGTATGTCAGTAATCAGTAACCGAATGACGGCTGATGGAAGTGCGATTGGCTACTCGTTCTGATGAATTCACCCACTTCGGTGATCTGAAGGGTACACAATAGTGTATCGTGGTTTAACAACAAGTTATTTTAGCACTAGTAATCAATAGATGACTTGAATCCCGTTTCAACTTTACCGGAGTTCGGCAGCATTGTTAAATTTGGGTTCCAACCGTAGAACGGATTGAAGGAAGCAATTAGAGGAAATATGTCCATGTTTGGGCAAAAGTCAGTGCCAACAATATGGTTATTCACAGCTTACGTCTCATGTTAACTTATTCATTTGTGTATTTGGCCGGTTTGGCTGACCCTGATCAATTTCTGAAGACAGTCACAGGCATTATGGGTGTCCTAGTGGAGACTTCTCAGAAATATTCACAGGTATGACGGTAGGTATGTACCTCCATCCGATTACGCCGTACAAAATTCTGTTGTCACTAAAAAATGAATATACTTTACGTCTTTTAGTAGTGCCACTAACATGAATGATCCATGTCTGAATACGTGTAAGTATACTACTGTGCGTAGGAACACGGAAGAAAGCGACTCACACAGTCCGCTGACGCAAAACGTCGGAAAATTTGAGAAGCTATTCATGGGCCTCATTGCGTAATACTCCCTCTTTTCATAGTTTGCTAAGTATCTGCCTCTCCCGCTGTGTGGCATGCTAAATAATTGTCATATGGAGTTTGACAAGCCATTCTGCACAACGGGGCACTTGTCAGAGGATCTGTGACCTCTTGATGAAGTCAGCATTGTAGCGTCGGGTCTTTATTCCTTTGAGTCCAGTCAAAATGTGCGCAGAGAAAATCAGTCCAACAAAACACAGTCACAGAGTCCAACTATCGTTTTCGATCGGTGGACCTGAAGATGTCTGCACTGAGCTTAAAAAGATGAAGAGTCCGCCAAGGTAAACAACCTTGGCAGAATTGCATCGAAAAGAATACTTACCAGTTCTAACGTCGTGGTGTATCGGGTGTTTTTTTGACAGTTTTATGGCAGGACCGAGCCAAAGGGATGCAGTGTGTACTTGAAGAGAAGTTGCTACGGATCGCAGAACAAACTTATATGGGTTATCAGCGAAATGCAAATGCCTGTGATCTTACTATGTAGGGGAAGTTGTGTGCCTTGTAGTCATTGTTTAGGCCGTTTCTCGAAAGTTCTCAATAGCTTTGAAATATTTGGCTGTGGAAAAAACTGGTTTTCTGCTTTAGAGAGCGCTATCTTCTCAGTGATATGTGAACGAAGGTAGAAGCTCCAAAACTTGTGGTCTTCATCGTTATGAGGAACGGGTAGTGCGCAAAATCACTTAATTTTGTATTTTCTGGGACAGACTGATCTTCATGACCTTTGACAAATGCACGTTTTTTGCTAAAAATTGACTCATTTATCCTGCCTAAGCGGATAAATTTCAACGGCAGATGATTTTTCCTAACAACCGGTTGCTGCTTAAGGGCTACAGTAGACGTTGTAGAAGAACGTGATGAATGACTTGGTGCTGTCAAAAAATATATACCCCTGAAGACCCTGAATCATCTTTAAGCGCCAGACAAGAGTGATGCCACGACTATTTTTCTTTCCTCGAGTGCAGCTTGATTTACCGAAAATAAAACCTTCAAGTTAGAACATGTACGTCTTTGTTAGATTGACAGCTGATCCTCCGTAGGTCTCCAACTAGTTCAATGTAGTTTCCGCTGTTGCTGAATGAAGACAGAGACCTTCACCCATGGGCCCTCCGTATGATAGCTTCTGCCTGACTGAATGCTCTAGAGTCCCGGGGTATACTGGAACAGGTGATATGACAACGTCAAGTTAAGTGCAAACATGTCCTGAATTCGGCTTTCCGCAGATGATCAGAGTATAATGAATCTGTGATTTCGCTATGGGCTCAATGAGCGTGCACCAAGATGCATATGATGGCCTGTCCTGGATCGGTTTTGACATGCGAATTTATTGCAAACTGAAGGAACTACATTTAACGAGTCTAGAAAGTATTGTGACTGCACCCTTCTGTTTCTTCACTACAAGAACATCTGATGAGCATCGTCTACCTCCGTTTCGACCTGCTTTTAGCCAAGAGTTTGGAAGCTCTTTCTGTGTCTTTTCTGCAACACCAAAGTGACAAACGTAATCTGATCAGCACTGAACGGTTATCTTCTATGTAGAAGCTCCGCTGCGTGAGCTCAGTTGCCAAAACTCATAAGTTGTAAGAATAGCGCTGAAAAAATGTTATGAATACCCTAGTGGATAACTGCCTGGTGCCGAAACCCTTGAGATCTAGAAATTTAGAGAACGCCCCGCAAAAACGGTGTCACTAGTCGCCTTCTGTGACCGGCCTCCAAATGGGCAGCAACTTTACTTGCGAACTGTGGATTTTCTCCGCTTCATTCGAGATTTTCATTCATCTATGACATTGGATGATGCTGGTGACCAATACTGCCATTTTATTACTTCCAGGTAAAACGAAGCCATGTTATCCAAGCTATCGAAACCCTACATTCAAAATTTATAAGCTATCCACCCACAATAATATATACTAACATTGTCTGGCATGAATGAATGCTAAAAAATGACACCAATGCAATGAAACTGTAAGATTAACCCGACACCTAGACAACAGCGGCTAGATAAGACAGCCAGTTTCGTTTGGAAGAGCCAACCAGTAATGGATTTAGTGATGTGAAAATGAGAAAGTTTCGTCCCAATATTGGTGATTATGACAGGAGTAGATTATACAGACTCAAAGAGTCCAGGTTCCGCCACAACTCCTGAAGTTTTTTTCCCAAATCACACTTTGGCAAAATTAGTTTCTCATCCGTCGCACTAACCTAAAGACCTATTTTTGACGCACTGTTAGAGGTTTGGTTGCGCGCTTTCTACGGCAGGTATGCTTCTTAAGCCAGGCTATATAAGGTCGGCTTAAGTGAATTTTCAGTGAGGGTGTATGCATAATTCCAGAATTTTTAGCCCAGCGTATAACCTCATTCAAGCTGTGAGCATGTGGTTCTGAGGTATTGTGGACCGATGGCTGGACGCAGCAATTTCCACCGGAAATATGGCCGCATGCAACATACACCTGATGGTGTCCATAGTAAAAGGGGAGGGTTTCTTCCTTCATCAGTGAATTTCCACAAATGCTAAGATTTCAAACGACAAAAGTACATAAAACCTGAGTCAATGAGAATGCTGGGATGCATAGGTGAGAATCCACACCTTGACTTGCAGAAATCAAATTGGCTACACGATTCTTTGACGTTGTCTATAGGTACTTCTTACAATGAGTGTTTATCTGGTTCAATGTGGAAACTACATTTTTTATATCGGGTCAGTTTGTAGGTGGATACTAATATAATCTCATCTGATCAATTGTCACTTGTGTGATATTTCACCTTTGGTCAGTGATAATTGCAAAGCTGAATTCCGTAAAACTAGTAAAAGAAACACTCTTGGGAATTACCGCATGGATGCATCATGTTTGTTCACCTACTGTTTAGCTATCAATTTCAAATCTTCAAACTACACGCTATTCCTACTCTAAAAAATACTAGCTATGAAACTTCAATCGATTCTATCTCTCTGCGTTGAATGAGCTAAGCTAAATTATCTGACTAATTTGGAATCAGCTGGCTCTTGCAGTGGTCATCTCGTCGGCCATTAAGCACAGGTTAAAGATTTCATCAGTTTTATGATGTGTCTAGTTGACCTAAAGAGCAGCGTGATATCTGGAATGGTTCCAGAAAGAGAAGAAATTTCGCACGTCCGAGGAGGGACTCTTACCATAGATCGAATGTAAATAAGAGTTCGAAGTTTCTGCTTCTGACCAGAGCTGAATTTTCGCCGAAGTAAATATACATGTCATTTCCAGGTCATTGAGTGCACCCAATGTTATGCATGTGATACAAGCACCACTATTTTGCAGATAGCTGCTCATGTAATTTTTTCAGTCCCAGTAAACTCAGTTCACATATTTTGAAAGGAAATATTTCATGCTGAGCCTGTTTCATGTGATAAGTATTGTATACGATTGCTGTGTATGTCTCAGGTCTCAGTATACTAGGAGTTATTCACCTGAATTTCGCTCGGTTATTTTACCTACATTTTCTTCTATGATAGCCCATCTCCGAAACGCCTGTCATGCAGCTGGGACCAGAAAATGTGCCATTATTTTCAAATCCTACAAGCTGCGCAACACCAAAAACGAGCATCAGTCAGGCGCCATTGGATGCCAACATGGTTGCTCAACTTTTATGCTCACCAATCCTAAGACAACCGGAACAATTGATTGCCTGCCTAACAGAATTGCTGAGGCAACAACAACTCCGAAATCAGCAACCGCGTCTCTCTCGGGCTTCTGTCTCATCCGTCGCCTCAGTACCGACCCCTGCAGCCGCACACTCACCGGCTGTCCCACGTCAAAACGTTATCAGTTCTCCTGCTGTGCCATTATTCATAGCGACTACGTCGGCGGATGAACAAACTACTAATGACTATGTCAACCTGTTTTCCAACTTGTCAACGGTTGATCCACAAAGTGCTTCCCCTAATCTCGATCAGGCTGTCTTATCGAATAGTCAACACGGAAGTCATTCGGGTTCATTGCACCAGGACTCGACCTTCAGAGAATCGCTGGGGACCATAGATAGTAGTAACGAAAGTCAAGCACAATCTTCTGTTGAAAGTGATCTACGCGCATTAGATCAGTTTGATCAGGACCCCACAGACCGTTCTTTGGTTATGCGCGACCCCGCTGCACAATTTGGAGAGCAAGAACACCCTCAAATGGACGCTACAAAGTTTACGGTAAGTTTGTAATCTGCAAAAACGGTTTGTGAATCCAGGAGATTTCGAATGCTCCTAGGTCCTTATTCACAACGATAAGGTGTACACTGTTTAATTCATCCATGGATTGGATTATAATGCATGCTAACGGGTGACAAGCAAGGTCAAAGTCCCAGACCATTGATCAAGGTTGGTTACTTGTTCGAACAGAAAGCATGAGAAAACTAAGTTTGCTGAAGTGATCCGCAAATAGAGAATTTAAGAACTTGCAGTTGATTGATTTGCCATGTTTTCCGCGTAGACAAACGCAAAGCATACTACCAGTGGTTCACAATTTACGAAATGTCATTTTCATAACCTGTAGGTGTTCCAGAACAGTTTTATTGTTTAAACCGTGTAAACAGCCTCTCCGGAATAAAACTGGTACGCTTGTGCATTCTTCTGCATTACTGCAACCAAAGATAACGAGAAACCTATTCCTTCATACAGCTTTTGCCTTTTTCGGATAACTTGTAAACGGAAAATCTCCCGATCACTTTGATTTGGTAGTTGTAATGGAGCGGTTAGCATACAGAAAACGAACTTTCAGTCTTCAGTACGACAGTTCTGCTGGGGAGTTATTTGGAAAACATTGGGTGATCTGCTTTTGTTCCTTGTTTTGAGGCTGCCTCTAAGTGCACCCCATATTTACTTTCTCAAAAGTTTTGATAGCCTATCCTGCAAACCTATTAAAGTATGCTTTAGGATTTTAGTAATTCCGTACGCGAGGCTTTCGGTGTAACTGACTACCTAAAATTTCAGAAGCATCCGTTATTATGCACCGTTAACGAGGTAAAGTTAGGAGACTTCAGGGTGACGATTTTTGGTAAGCTCATTGCAAACACCCTTGTATTTTAGATGCGAGTAGATCAGTTCTGACTTTACTCATGGAATCGTGAATACCGCCCTTTCTTTCCGGGAAGCGACCCTCCTTTTATTGACGCAATCCAAAGAAGAACATCAAAATCAATTCTCCACTATTTTCCCTGTCACGATTTCCCAACCCAGATTCCATCCATTTTCATGGGATAACTCTTGACCACTATAATCTTCCATCGATCGCACAGCATGATCGTTCAAATGCTACCTAGATTTGGCAATTTATTCCGAACAGCTATTAAAGTAGGGTTTGTCACAAGAGCAACACACATGAACAAAACTTTGGATTCTCAAACAGGTGACCGAAAAAAAGTCCCGCGGTTGACACCATACCACACCTTACAGTGAAATATCGCTTGGTATGCTGTAATTTCAGGGATGAAACCCAGATGTATTATTGAACCACCCTAAATATGAAGCTTGGTCAAAGACATACTGGAACCTGACACTACATGTCCAAGGCAATTGAAGTTCTGTAGTCCAGTGGGCAAATATAAACAGAAATCCAGAAATCTGCTGACTTTCTAACCCACTGAAGAAAGGTTCTGTCACAACGTAACATCCTTCATTTGTATCGGTCATCCATGGGACTATCAAAATGCATTCACACCACATTCGCTAGACAGTTTTACTGAATGAATTCAATGTAAAACCCTTGAAGGAATGACATGAGTTACAATTCGTCGAAATATGTGTTCCTGATTTTTTAAGAAAAATGCCATTTTTTGAGCCAACTTGCATAACAAAAGTAGGTTTCTGTAACTTGTAACAACATCAGAACTACTACTGAAACGACGGGCAAGATTATCCAAAACGTCCTGGTTTTTAGAATAAGCCAAGAGGGAAACCATTCCTGCAGGTTCGGATCCACCTACTGTCTGTCTACCGAAAGCGTATGAGGGCGCGCAAATGTCAAATACAAGAAAATGCCTGACATTGGTTGTATTAAGCTGAGAATATCGCTTGGTGCATGAAAATTTAGCATGGATGGGCTAAATAGATGCACTTACCTTTGATATTTCGTCTGCTCAGCCGAAATCGGCCTCAGTCTAAAATACATGCATGCACGTAACGGAGACTTCTACATTCCGGCTACCAGGCTGTCTCCATCTACCGTAATGATCGTGATTTCTGTTTTCTTGAGGAACTGATTGGCGACACAACTGTTTTCTTCTCAAGGTATCGCCCCAACTTATCAACTAGGGCAATAATTCCCGGACAATATGCTCTAAATAAAAAGTTTGACGATAAATTTGTAAATTTGTACGCTACTTGCTTTTCACCAAGACCTGTCTTCTGTGTTTTCTCAACAACAAGTATTTGAAAATGAAAACTTACGTGACTGAAAATAACCAGTGAAGCACATTGGTAGCCAAAATGTGCCGGGCGCTGAATGAGACAGAGCAGACATTAGAATCGATCATGAATTATTTGAGAAACCGATTCATAGAATGTCAAGTTTGAATACTTCACTATAAATGGAATCTAAAACCGTCGATTTCTGTACATTTTTCGCTGTCCGCTTTTCCCGGTGTATTTCGATTGCCAATGCAAAGCCGTTTCATTTTACTAAACGGGGCTAAATGCCATAAAAATTCTCATGGAGGTCATATGATTTTCCCTCTCTATGTGTATGATATTCATCCTTCGTGCTCACCTGATCTATTTCATCCGGTCAAGTAACATCTCTTGAGTAAGGTCATTGCCGCCTGGGAATAAAATTGCGTACAACTGGAATATCGGCCACCAAAACAGGCTATACTATCAGCTGGAGGACAAAACGGGGCCAAACGGAGATGGTAAAAGTACTGCCAATGCACAGGATGATGGGGCAAAAGTTAACGCGTTGAGGACATCTATAATTCAAGGATGCTAACAGGCTACTCAGGTAGCTAAAAAGTTAGCACTGACACGGAAATCTTGTCATATTTTAATGTAAACGACTAAGCTTGGTGATATGTTGCTGCCTTGAAATGCGTCATGGCTCGGAATTTGCTACAAAATTCTGGTAGAGAATGACATCGTTCCTAGTTCGACCACCTTTCAAAGGGTAGAACAAGTGTGATGACGACTCACATAAATATTGGTTTCTTTGCTATATTTTGTTACGTAATGGCGCCATACACTGACATCTTGTTTCTCAGTTCTTTACCGTCATAGGATACGAGCACATCTTTTTTGTCACGTGACGAAGTCATTACATGTCTACACAGTTCAGATGAAGTGGTCATGAACATTTCGAAAGTGAAATTAGAAATGGAATGGTTGTTCGGCTGTTCGTTCCTAGTACTTCCGTGATGAATACAATGGTTGTTGGAGAGACACTGAATTTAGTATTGCGTAAACAAATCGTCCGTCATACACAAAATACCCTCTATAATCGTCTCCGTTAGATGCCACAATGTCCTATTCCTTGCGCAGTTCTTAATCTGGGATGCTAGACAGGTCAGATGGAGTTGCGTGTAATTTGCTTCCGAAAAACAGTGCCAATTTAGATGCGGTTAATTTTTTATAGTTGCAGGACGCAGACAGCCTTGGAAGCGCATCGTGATAGGAATTTTCCCAACTTTTGATCATCCTGCGTTGTGAGTCCCTAAATTGGATGTGCTTGTTCAACAAGTTTAGCGGCCTTGGAATTTTTGTACTCCGAACCAACTAAGTTTAAAGTCAGATGTCACCTTACGACTGAATTTTTCTAAGACTTTTGAAAGTCGCAGCGGAAAAGTGATTTTTGCTGAATTTCGCCCCGGAGGGTATTGTGTTCAAACGTGCAATTTTTCTTCAACAATCCTTCTGACATACTGGAATAAGGAAACTTAGTGTCCATGTTGTGTCGATTTGTTTATTGGTCACCCCTTCGACTTATCGATTTACTGAGGCTTGCAGATATATTTTTTAAGCATTAAATCTGGTGGCATTTGTCGAATCCCGTGAGTCTTATTTCAGTACATTAGAGATAATAGCCCTTTCATTTTCAGAACCTATTCCTCCAGGTTATGTGGACCGCTGCGAATTCTAACATTGGGTGCACAAAAGCTACCACTGACTTGACAGAAATTTTGTCCCACTACTCGTACTGTGTGATATGAACTTCAATTCAGTGCGCCAAGACAGCACCATTTATGTGTCCATGCAAAGCTACGCGTAGGATCACGTGCTTTCAGTATCCCTCTAAGTTGTCGTTGCTCGCCTTTTGATTCATCGTTGAAGCGAAAATGTGTAATGTCTGTAGAAAATGCAAAAGACGGGAAGGTCACTCGGAGAAGTGCTATCAAGTCAGGATGGTTCAATGAAGATAACAAAAGGACACGGGTTTACGCCATTATTACTTGTCGAGATGGGTATTTTGTTCAGAGGTACGTCCCCATACTCTTGAAACCGTCATATCCACCAAAATGACTTAAAGGATCTGGCTGATGATAACAGTATTGAATGGGATTACGTAGACATCCAACCGGCAGGAAATCTAACAAATTTGCCTTCTTATCTTGAATAGTTGTCTAGCACCTGCGTGTAAGCAGTTCTCTTTCCCGCCTTAAGGTTCTCATATCAATAGTTCCATTTTTTATCAGGTTCCACTTATGAGACGGGAACTGCATGCTTATTTGACTAGAAGGAAGAAATTGACTGCCATTGAGCACATTTTCAAAAAAAACCAGAACTCTCTTCTACCCAGTTGAAGGCTCTTTCTCTCGGTTAAAATTCATGGCAGCTCAGTTACAAAACTTTTGTCATGTAAAGTGAAATGGAGTAGAATGCGCAGTCAGTCGCGATCAACACACATCGATACCCAAAGCAATTTTCGCTTCTTTTCTATTATTTAGAAATACGAACCTTGCCGGGTTGACTGTCATTATATGAGGAGGATGAAAGTTTTAATTGGAGACTGTCAATATTGTTGCACATTGTCTTTGTCGTCTTGAGATTGGTCCTTAGCTAATCTACTTCGCCCCGTGTCAGATTTTATCTCATTAGGCACGATGTTAAACATACGTTGACAAATGTATCTGCAATGAGGTTTCTTTTTCGAGAGGTACAATCATTTGCAAATCAGTTCGGTTTTCACGAGAGACTCAACCAAATCTCTCGTTTATGATATTCTA